ACTTCTTTGTTAAGTGAATATTGTGACAAGGCACTTAGTGAATGCCTAATGCTTTAAGAGGAGATGAGGCTGCAGTGAAGGGCTCAGGTGGCAATCAGGGGAGTCACCTGACCAGCAAGGGGCCAGGCTACCAGCATATAATGTCAGGGCCTGAGCTGGTCAGGCAGTCTAGCCCAGAGAGCTGCAAAGAGAACAGCTCCTGGGCAGCAGAGCAATTGGGTAATGGTTGAGGTGGGATAAACAGCACTAAAGCAGCACTGGGGGGTTGTGGATGAGACTGAGGAGTGAAGGAGGTCCCAATAGGCCCAGGGGTAAGGCCAAAGGCCTGGGAGCAAGGCCCAACCCCAGGAAAGGGACAGAGTAGGTCAGAGTCCTGGGAGCATTGTCAGAGTCCAGGAAAAGATCTGAAATTGGAGCAGGGGCCCAAAGCCCAGAGAGGGGCAGAGGCAGGGAAAAGAAACCCAGAAATTGGGGCCAGGGGCCTAAGGCCCAGAGGGGCAGAGGCAGGGCAAAGAAGCCCAGATATTGAAGGCAGAGGCCCAAAGCCCAGAGAGGGGTGTAGACAGGCAAAAAAAGCCCAGAGATTAGGGCTAAGGACCTAAGGCCCAGGAAGGGGCAGGATGCAGCAGCTGGGAATAGCCAAGGTAGGCAAAGTACCAGGGTAGGGAGGCCTAATCATAGGGACTGAGACCATGGCCCAAGAGGGCTGTAGATTGAGATGACTGATAGCATCTGTGAGGCATGGGCTTGGTGTAAGGGACAGTTGGAGCCACATAGTTAGCCTTAAGGCCTAGAGTGGAGACTATCTGAGCTAAGGAGCGTGCGGTCAGGCTTGGGAAGCCTCCCTTTCCGCTAAAAGGCAGCAACATCAAGGTGTGGCAGAAGAGTGAAGGGGAGAGTACCCAAAGAGAGCCAGATCAAACTCAGTGGCCACCCCCAGGACAAGCACATGTTACAAACATTTATGGGACATGCACATGTTACAAACATTTATATATTTCCTCTTGGAGGAAATTCATCTTTGCAGATCTTTGCTTCACAGATAAGCACTACAGACATAAAGGGAAACTTGAACCTATTATATTCTAGCTCAATCAGAACTTCCCTTACAAAGGCCTTGGCTTGATTCTCAGATTGCATAAATTAGTCTACCTTTATTCACTCACATCAACTATGGATCTAGGATCTAATGAATATAAAAAAAAATGCTTAAGCTACTTAAAATTAGATTTAAATTTACTTTTTAATATTTTATTATATGGTTACTGCTTAGATTTCTTTAATTTAGAGATTTCACTTCTAAAGCTAGTTTCTATTGTGTATATATAGGAGATTTAATGTATTCACTAAGTAAGAAATTAAAAGAAGTACTGTTGTCTAATTATATTGTTTGATCTTTTCTCCTTATTTTACTACATAAAAGTACTATTTAATTTCCTTTTACATTTCAAATGCACTAGAACAGATGGTCAGTATTTTATCTATAGATTGCATACATTTATTTAATTTTGAAGAATAATATTCAAATTTAAACAAAGTTCACAGGACTATATCTTCACTATTTTTATAAAAACTGCATTTCTGATAAAATTAGATTTTAATGATAAAAAATTTTAAATAAGCAGAGTTTGTGCTTAATCATGTTTTACTTTTGAAATGTGTGTGTGCGCACACGTGCATGCACATGTAGGACTAAATATTAAAAAATGTGTGTCTAAGGCCCCTGATATACGTTAATTTAATGTTGCAATGGGATCTAACCCCAATCCTAACAATTGTGCCTCCTACAATGCCATGTACACATGGCAAGATGCATGAATTTAGGATCAGGGATCATATCCCAATCACACCAATACTACTTGCCACTGCAGGGGGAGCTTAGGATCATGAGCCCAGGCTCCCTCTGCACCAGCAAGTTGAAAGCTGGGGGCCCAGCCCTGAACACAGGACCAACAATCAGCTGATTGTCAGCCAAGACCAGACAACCTTGGGTCCAGGGCTGACAATCAACTGACTCTCAGCCATGGCTGAGCAATCCCAAGTCCAGTTTGAGATCCATTGGGCTGGCAATCAGTTGATTGTCAAAAACCCATACCCAGAAATGCCAGCTGGGCTGCCAGGTGTAGGGGATGAGAGGCTCCCAGTGGGGGAGCTGAAAAGCTTCCCTACCAGGGACTCTAAATCTAGCACCCAGTAGCCCTGACTAGAGCTGGACAGGCATGGATTTTAAAGTCCCTGGCATAGAAGCCCTTCAGCTCCCCCTCTCTGCCTGCAGCCTTGGGCCATAGCTGACAATAAGCTGGTTGTCCGTCCCTAGTCCAGGACTGAACTGGGGCTGTTTCCAGACCCCTGTGTAGTCCAGGCCCTAGAACTAACAATCAGCTACTTGTTAGCCCCCACCACACATTAGATTTAAGGCACCACACAAACCAGCCAAAAAAGGTTCTACATTTTATGTGGAACATTTTTATGGCTCATTTGCCATTTTAACATATTAATCACAGCATAAAAGTAACATGTAGAGGGGACCTACATTTTGTAAAGTTAGGGATGGTAAATTGTATATGTGGTTGTGTACCATCACAAGGAAGATGTACTTAATGCATGCTACTACCTGTTGCTGAAGCCAATAATTTGAGATGCATCTTTGAATGGGTACCAAATACAAAGCTACTAAGAGAAAAACTTAAGAGAAAAATCTGAAGAGTGATGTGTACACGTGTGTATTTTATCCTATATAAATCTAAGCTATTAGTTTTGCCATCATTCAAGTTAAATTATCAGTTCCAATGTAATTCCTATTTATCAAGTATATAAAATTGCTGCTCGATTTAGTATCATGTTGAAACATGAAATATTCAGTCTATGTGTACAATTATTTCATAAACAATACCTTATGTTAGTTAATCCATTTTATAGAGTAAAAGTCATCAAAGCATTTTTAAATTTGCTTTTTAATAGCTTGTTTCATTCTAGAAAAAGCTCATTTAAAGTTAAATATAGGCCACAATCAATTTGGTCATTTGGTTGTATACACTTAAGGGCTGAAATACCCAATACTTAGCCTTGCCCCAGGAGGTTGATCCAATTGACAATCTCCAAAACAGGCAGATATGTTCACTTGTGATCAAGTATACCTTGGCATACTTCCAAGAGTAAGCAGTTATACTGCCTGCTTTTAAGTAACAGTCTACTGGAAGTTAGAGAACAGGGTTACAGACCCTCTTCAATCACAGATGATTTAAACCCACATTTCTCACTTCCCAAGAGAGCACTCCAGCCACCAATTTATATAATAGACTGGATAGAACACCTCCACCCATGTTACTGAAGCTTAACCAAGAGTACAGAAATCATAAAGCCAAAAGGAAAAAAACCCAAGAGACAAAATATTTCAGCCTAATGTTTAGGGAATTCTAATGGGAAACAGAGACTTGGAATTCTCTAGTTAACAAATATGAAGAAAAATAAATAATGAGATTTGCAAATAAAATCGATTGTGTCAATAAAATGCAGGCTCTTAGAAGTCTTATGAAGACCACTGTGTAGCAGAAAGATACCCAAGTTATCTCATTGTTATGGGATGGCTAAATCTTGAAGGGGTTTCTTTTTATTTGGTTTGGGGTTTTTGTTTGTTTGTTTTTACTTTTCTGCCCCTTTTCTTATGGACTGCCTTCTATATCTATAAGTATATAGATACCTGAGCTATGTTTAAATTAGTTAACTCAGGTATTGGTAGCTATCTAGCTATTGCAGTCCAGAGCTCAACATGGGCTAATTTATTCAGCTGAGTAGACTGACACTAGATTTTATGCAAACAGCTCAAAGGCTTACCGTGCTCCAGGCAACCCTAAACTCTTCAGACACCTTGGCAGATCTTGGCATTAGTCTAGTCTTCTCTAAAAAGATAACTTATTTTCAATTTACCAGATTTCCTTTCTTTTTGTCAAATTTCTTGGCTTTTGGCTTTCTAGACCAAACTAGTCTAGTACAGGGGTCAGCAATTTCTGGCCCTACAGGATGGAGCTGGCTCACCAAATTACTTGATTTGGCCTGCGAAGCTGGGATATCAATTGCAAATCAGCTGCTTAGGGGGAAAGCAGCAGCTGGGTTCAAAGCATACTGCCGGCAATTTGGGTGCAGGAGGAGCAGCAGTGGCTAGATTGTAAGCATCACCCTGCCTTTGAAGCAGGCTACATTAATTGGGCCAGCTGCTCCCAAAAAGGTTGCTGACCCCTGGTCTAGTAAGTTCTGCTGGAGATCAAGTCAGACTCCTCTGTGATAATGGCTCTTCCTCTATCCTTTAACAATCCTCAAGGACTTACCATGGGGCAGCTAAATCTTGAGACGGGGAGAGGTTGTTTTTGTTTGTTTATTTTAACTTTTGTGCCTCTTTTCTTATAGACTGCCTTTAAATTAACTCAGCCCATTCATATAATAAAGACATCCCAATAGTTAAGCCAATATACATTTATAAATTATCACAAATTAGCTCATATCTGTCATATCGTTGAAGCACTACAGGGTAACAAGGAATTGTACGTTTGTCCATTAAGAGACTTAGAAGTAAAGAACTCTGAAGAGTATATATTTTCAATTTTCTGAAGTAAACAGCAACCCAAACGAATCACTAAAATAACTAAAAGTCATAAGAAATACAAACTAACAAACCTGTCTGCATTTCATTTACATTTGATGATAAACTAACCATCTCTTTTCTGTAAAAATAATTACATGATTTTATAACTTTTACCTTTCTAGAGTATTTTTTTCATGTATACAACAGTAAGAATATTGCCTTTAATCTTTATTAATTGGTATTAAGATAAATGCATTCATGATTAACAATATAAACTGTAATTCCAAAAATCCTAACAAAGCCTGGTTGTGTGTTTCTGATCATAAAACTGCTCTTACAGGCATTTAAAACACTGTCACACTAAATTCTAAGTTACATTTAGGAAATATATGAACTGACAGTAACAAGGACAAACACATACCCTTAATAATCGATTCAGCTGCATACAGGTCCCGCTTGTAGGTCACCTAAAGGACAGATAAACCTCATTAGACTTAGCAGAGCAGGAAGGAATGTAAAACCAATAAAATAGTGCCCTGAAGGCAATTCTTTATATTTGAAATACCATAAACAAATGATATTGTCAATTTCTTAATTAAAGTAAATACGCTTGGCAAATCAGGACAACAAAACTTGCAAAAATCACAAGAGATTCTATAGAACCACATTCTGTTGTTAAACAGCTAGATCTATTGAGAATTAGTTTGAAACCATAGCACATTTTAAAACTCTTTAGAGAATTGTAACAAGCACATTTTTCTTGCAATAAAACGCCATGATTTCATGTCTTTCATCCTTTCTTAGCACAAGGTTTATTTTTCTATGCTAAAAAACAGAAATATAGGACTGGACGTGACCAGCTCTGTCATCAAGTACAATTTCCCTTAAAATTCCTTCTTAACTCTAACCCTGGCAATCAATTTAACTCTGAGCATATGAACAAGAGACCAGCTGGGCACCTGACATGTTTATAACTATTACTGCACCCCACTTAATATCTCATCTGTAGCTCCAGCTAATCTTTGATGCATAAGAGGAAAGTAAAAAACCTAAAAGCCTAAGTTATGCCATGCAAAAAAGAAAAGTTCTTCTTCCCCTTACAGATCACCATCAAAAACTCTGAAGCATGAGATTCAATGATTATATATAATACATTGCAACAAATATTGTAAGCATAGCGAAAGCTTAAGTGAAGGAATACGAACAAAGGAAAAAAGCTGAATGCAGGGTCTTCACAAGAATCAGCAAATTCCCTTGGTTCTAAACTAAAAGCAGATCCTCAAAGACAAACTTCCCTGAAAAACCCCTCAAAAGTTGAGAACAGACTGACATGCACACTGAGCAACCTCTCAGAGTACTGCAATAAGAGCCAGCTTCATGCCAACCCAACCAAGAAGCAGGTCACAGCTTTTCACCTATGCCATTGAGAAGCTAAGCAGAAATTAAAAATCATCTGGGATGGAATACTACTTACAATCACCCAAACCCTGTGTACTTGAGTGTTACGTTAGACATACCTTCAAAGCACAAGTAGAAAAAACAAAAGGCAAAGTCATAGCCCACAACAACATACTTCAAAAGTCGGTCACCTCAAAGTGGAGTGTGAACCCAGCTACATTTCAAACCACTGCTATTGCTTTGTGCTACTTCACTGTAGAGTATGCATGTCCAGTATGATCAGAACAATCATTTCATGCCAAGAAAATAGACACAGTTCTAAATGACAGCTGTTGTGAAATAACATGATGTCTAAAACCAACACCAAAGGATAGCCTCTACTTACTGGCTGGCACTGTACCACCTGATATCAGAAGAAAGGCAGCAAGCCAAAAAGAAAGATCATGGCAAATGGAAGACCCCAGACATCTACTCTATGATCATACAGACACAAAAGTAATTAAATGGCTTAAAACATGAAAGAATTTTGTGACCAGTGTTGCACCTCTGGACACGACGGCTGACAGGGCCTTACTGAGGTTATGGAAGAAAAAAGTATGTGCAATCAGGTGCTCTGAAGTGGACCTGGATCCCCAGGAGGACCATTCAAGAGAGGCAGATCTTGATTGGCCAATATGGCAATGCCTGAATCGCCTGAACACACAAACTGGATGGTCAAAAACAAACATGATAAAATGGGCCTACTCCTAATGACATAAATATATGCAAGTGCAGTGAAGTGCAGACTGTGAGTATGTGCTCATTTGCCTATTTGCCGACTCCTTGGTGAGACCTGTATGAAGGAGGAGCTCACTACAATGGCAGAACAGCCATCGCTTGTGCACAATTCAGGAAAAACATCTAGTTTATGACAAGAATACAAGAAGAATAAGATGACTCTAAAATACTGCAATCCACCTACCCCCATGGCAAAAAATGTTCAAATGTTCAAACTCCTCCTATTACCAGGAGGCTGCATTTCACCTTGAGACTCCTTTTTGTTTCTGCCACTAGACCCCATCTGTACCATCAGCAAAGTGATGAGATCTCCTTCATATCCAAGAAAAATGCCTTGTTCAGAAGGCCATCCCAGGAATGCACTCCTTCTAGTTTTCAGTCTAAATTCATTTGTGACTAATTTATATGCACCTGATCATTTATCAGTATTTAGGGTTACCATATGTCTGGGTTTTCCCAGACATGTCCTCTTTTTTTGGCCCCTTACCCTTATGTCTGAGCAGGTTTTTAAAATGCAAGGAAATGTCCGGGTTTTTGTTTTGCCTCTGCTTTCCCAGGCTGGCTGCTTGGGGCTGGGAGAAGTGGGCAAGGTGATTGGCTGTTGGGGGTCACATGCTCCCTGCACAGGCCCTGGCAAGACACTCCCACATAAAGAGACGTGTGTGGGGCGGGGGGGCAGCAGGGCATATCACTGTTCCCCCCACAATCATATGTCTCTCCCCACCTTTCCTCCCCTTCCCCTACACAGGTATCCTCTTTTTGTGATACTGGAAATATGGTAACCCTATACGATATTATTGTATTTTCTTATGTACAACATGCCCATTTCCCCACAAAATTAGCACCCCCAAAATAAGGGTGAAAGTTTTAAGGCACGGAAAGCTGCTTTCTTCACTGGAAAAGCAATGCTCCTGGAGACACTGTGCCTGCCAGGTAGCTGCAACATGACTGCTCAGCAAACTAAAGGGAGGGAGTCTTATGTGAACCCTCTCACAGCTGTAGTTATTGGCTGAACACAGTAGCTTGTGCACAAAGCAGCAAGTGAACTTGTTGATAATTATCTTGATGAGGCTTGTGATGTGGAAACAACGCAACAGGAATTATATAAAGAATTATTTACAGTAAAGAAGTAACAAGTCTTGTGACCAAAAATCTAAAGCCCCAAGCTTATGATAAAAGTTCTTAGTATTAGTTCCTAACTGAATACTTTTTCTCAGTCTCCAATATGTATGAAAGTTTATATAAGGATAATGGCATGGTATAGCTGCCATTAGGGGAAAGGAAATTAGTACGTCCAAGCTAAAAGCAAAACTTGGACTGCTTACTGCAAAAAAAAAATAAAATAAAAAAAAAAAAAAATCAGAGGGTCCATATAATCTCCATTACATAAAATTGAAAGAAGTAACACATATAATTAAAAATCCATTAGCTAGCATTTTCAATAAATCCATTAACTTGAAGGTAGTTTCTTATGACTAGAGAATATTAAAAGTAGTCCCTGTATTAAAAAAAAAAAAAAGAGAGAACTACATAATGGGTCTAGTTATCTAGATCCAAGCAAAGCATTAGATATTAAATATAAATGAGGCAAAATGTATATGTGTGCGCATGTGTGTGTGCATACCTCAAACTTTCATAGACTTCTTATGGAGTCTGCAGCAAAATATTCATTTAGAATTAGGGTTAGTTATCCTTAATCTCCAACCCATTCTCAGTATATAGTTTATGCGTCTTCCTTCTTGGTTTTCTTTATATTTATATAAATTAAAGTACCATTTGTTTTTTGTTTAAATTTTCTTCTAAGCTTAAGTAGACATTTGAACGTTTTCTTTAATTTCCATACTTTGTGACCCCCAAAACATAACACTTTTTGTTGATCAATCTCTTCCCATTTCTCTTAAATTTACCCCTTGTATCCTGCTTGAGGATATGTAGGTTTAAATCTTTC